AGTACATACAATCTTGCAGAGGTGTGATCAAAATGAAAAATGCCTCTGAGACTCAGTACCGGGTACACTATAGCACTGCCACACCAGGTCCATGCTCAGAAGGGGTCAATAACGACTATTTGGGGGCCCAAAATGTTAATCTGGCCCTGCTTGGGAAGGAATCTGAGCTCTGAATCCCTAGATCTTGGAATCCAGATTCTAGCCCACATGGGAATGTCTGCACTGATATTTTTAGCCCTATGAGGCAGGCAATTGGCTGGGGCGCTCAGATTTGTGCCTCAGGTTTTTCTGTTCAGTGTAGACTTACCCACAGGGACATAGACTGTGGCCTTGTGTGCACTATGAGATATGTTGAATTTAAGGTCTGTTTTTAGCACCTGATTTTGTAAAGTTGAAGGTGCATGTCTCCACTGTGCACAAGAATTCAATGTAGTTCGAAGTAGTGCGTCTCCAGTAGGGTGGCTATCTTCCACTTGGAGAACGATGCACTATGGGTAGCTGTCCTACAGGTCTTGCTGACCCTTTGCATTTGGTTTATGCTCCCAGTGCACTTTGGCACCAAAACTATGCAGCAGGTGATTCTATGTACATGTCACCAGCATGCCATAATGCACTTATCTCCTCCCTCCCACCTTCACTTGAAAGCAACAGCAAACAGTCTTTTCATGTCCTTTTTCCCTCTGATTATCCATGCAGATGCCATAACACAGTAAGCATGGAACCCGTTCAGCAGTGAAGTATTATGGGAATCATATTCACCATTGTGCACAGTATGCTGGAGTATATCCAGAGTATAGCTAGGGTCTTCCAGAATCGTAAGACTCTCGGGAAGCCATGAACATACTCCTCTTTGAAGCACTTGTGTTGAACAACTGGCAAATGCCACTGACATTCAATCCCCTTGACACAGTGGGACATCGATTCTGGTACCGTGAGAGAAGCACAGACTGGTGAAATGCAGAGTTATGGAGCTACGTGATGATCAGCACTGGCTGCAAAACTTTCGCATGCATAAGGCCACTTTCATGGAAGTTTGCGAATTACTTTTCCCCACCCTGAAGCACAGGAATATCACAATGAGACTCACTCTGACAGTGAAGATGTGAGTGGCAATAGCCCTGTGGAAGCTTGCAACACCAGACAGCTACCCGTCAGCTGGGAATCAGTTCAGTGTGGGGAAATCTCCAGCGGGGCTGTTGTGAGCCAACTAATACAGTAATCAATACTCTTCTGCTATGGAGGGTTGTGACTCTGGGAAACGTGAAGGACATAGTGGAGAGCTTTGCCACAATACGGTTCCCTATCTTGGCACCCAGGAACCTTGCCAAAGGGTACATAACCCGCAAGGGGTACTTCTCGATGGTGTGCAGGTGCTGTTGGATCACAGCTGGATGGTGCTGGATGTTTCACCGACATCAACATGGGATGGTCGGGAACAATGCATGATGTGTGCATCTTTAGGAACTCCTGTCTCTTCAGAAAGCTGCAAGCTGGTCCTTTTGTCCCAGACCAGAAAAATAACGGAGGCACTGAAACCCCAACAGTGATCCTGGGATACCCAGCCTATCCCTTGCTGTGCAGAATGGTGGTAGAATGTGCTTTTGGGAATTTAACGGGAAGGTTTTGCAGTCTGCTGATTAGGTTAGACCTCCACGAAAGCTCCAGTTTCATTGTTGTGGCAGCCTTCTGTGTGCACCATAATATTTGAGAGAACAAGGGGGAAAATTATGTGGCAGGATGAGGGGAGGGGGTCAAGGAACAGTGCCTAGCTAGACATTTTGAGCAGCCAGACACCAGGGCAATAGGGAGAGCACAGCAAAGGGCAGTGCAAATTAGAGAAGCTTTGAAAAATAGATTTATGAATGGCCGGATGGCAATATGAGAGTCATGCATGTTGCTTGAATGAGGTGCCCCTGCATTAAGTGTGTTTGCCTGTAAACTGCATACTTCTCCCCCACACACACACACACAGTAGGGACAGAAAAGGAGTTCAGGGTGGGAACTTTGGAGGAGAGCAAGGAGGACAGCCTTTTGTTCCGGGACCCATCCCAGAAGTGTGAGGCTGCCCTTAAGTCTTCTCCCTCAGCCACATTCTAGGGCCCCTGGAAGAGGAGAATATGGAACTCAGTGCGGAGGGAATGTGGCTCGGCAAAGGCAGAGGAGGTGCCTGTGCATGCAGCTGTCCTGTAAGGCCATCACGACATGAAGACTTTCTCCTTGTTCTTCATTTCCAGTTCCCAGCCCACTGGCCTGTCCTCATGCTCCACTCACATCTCCTGCAGCAGTGTATTCCTCCACTCACTTAATCGCTCCCTGTCCCAGTGGGCGGGTTGCACTTGCTCCTTGTACATGTCATCCCTAGTAGGTTTTCCCCTGTGGATTTGTGCTAGCCAGGCAGCTGGTGGAGCTGCGGGAGTGTGCAGCATGGTCCCTGCTGAATCCGCAGTGACGAAAAGTGAAGTGCTGACTTTACAGGAGATACATTTTTTTAGCGTAAAACCTAGTCTCTTAGTATAAAAGGAAGGTCTGTCTACAGACAATAGGGATGTATTATACTTTTAAGTGTCCACTATGCAGCAGGTACATCACAGAGATCTTGGGGAGCAGCTGGACTCAGTTTGTGGCATGCATAGTAAGGGGCAGGCTGGGGCTTGAGCCAGTGGGGAAAAGGGGGTCCTGATACGGTGGCAAGGCAGCATAGGGCAAGGGCTCACTCCGTGCTCATGTGTTTGACACCCCTGTTGGCCAGGAGAGTGCAACTTTTCCTTCCTGCAAAACCATGCGGGTGGGAGGGGGTCAAGAGTCTTCTGCTACATCTTCCTCAGCTCCTTTAATTTTACGCAGCACTGCCAGGCATCCTTAGTGTATCCTTTCCCCTCCACGCCCTCTGTGTTTTTGGCATAGATCTCTTTTTTTCTGAATCAAACCCTTAAAGTCGGTAACAGTGTTGGTGATGTGGATGCATTGTTTGGAAAATCGACCTCACATAAATTTGACCTAAACTTCCAGTGTAGACCAGGCCTGTGGGAAGGAATGTGGGTTCTCAAAGAAGTTGCTTCTCTCCGGCTACGTCTACACTGGCATGATTTTCCGAAAATGCTTTTAACAGAAAACTTTTCCATTAAAAGCATTTTCAGAAAAGCACGTCTAGATTGGCAGGATGCTTTTCCGCAAAAGCACTTTTTGCGAAAAAGCGTCCATGGCCAATCTAGACGCGGTTTTCCGTAAAAAAAGCCCCGATCGCCATTTTTGCGATCGGGGCTTTTTTCTGGGATACAGTACTGTGCTGTTTACACTGGCCCTCTTGCACAAAAGTCTTTCGGAAAAAGACTTTTGCCCGAATGGGAGCAGCATAGTATTTCCGGAAAAGCACTGACGATCTTACATGATATCGTCAGTGCTTTTCCAGAAATTCAAGCGGCCAGTGTAGACAGCTGGCAAGTTTTTCCGCAAAAGCAGATGATTTTGCGGAAAAACTTGCCAGTCTAGACACAGCCTCCTTGTATTGTAAAGGGTAGGACTAGGATTAACCACAAGGTTGCCCTAGTGAATTGATGCAGTATTGTGTCTGGTTGCTGAATGCTGATTGGTAGGGAGGAAGGGTATTAAAGGAAATTACTTGCCAGCCTTTAAAAATTGAGGCTAAATTTCACTCCTCCATTGCCATAGTTCTAAGATTTGTTCTCTCTTTCCTGGGACTGGTCTCCCTGTTGTGGGTTATTTTGTGTAAAGTCCACAAGGAAATAGGCATCAGACTAGAAATTAGGGCAAGAGTATGGAAAGTAACTGAACAGTAGAGTTATAAGCCTTTTATATCTTTGATTTATACGTGTGATTGTTTTTTTACATTACAGTATTAAGCCAATTGTCCTAAAGCTACATAAAGTAGCTTGTACTGGCTAAATAGCAGTTCAGCAGAAAAGGACCTGGGGATTACAGTGGATGAGAAGCTGGATATGAGTCAACAGTGTGCCCTTGTAGCCATGAAGGCTAATGGCATATTAGGGGGCATTGGGAGGAGCATTGCCAGCAGATTTAGGAAAGTTATTATTCCCCTTTATTTGGCATTGGAGAGGAGTATTGCATCCAGTTCTGGGTCCCCGACTTATAGAAAGGATCTGGATCCATTGGAGAGGGTCCAGTAGAGGGCAACCAAATTGTTTAGAGGGCTGGAGCACATGACCTATGAGGAGAGGCTGAGGGATTTGGGCTTATTTAGTCTACAGAAGAGAAGAGTGAGAGGGGGATGTGATAGCAGCCTTCAACTTCCTGAAGGGAGTTTCCATAGAAGATGGAGAAAGGCTGTTCACAGTAGTGACAGATGGCAGAACAAGGAGCAATGGTCTCCAGTTACAGTGGGGGAGGTCTAGGTTGGACATGAGGAAAAACTATTTCACTGGGAGGGTGGTGAAGTGCTGGAATGGGTTCCCTGGGGAGATGGTGGAATCTCCAACCCTAGAGGTTTTTAAGTCCCAGCTTGACAAAGCCCCAGCTAGGATGATTTAGTTGGGGATGGTCCTGCTTTGGGCAGGGGGCTGGACTTGATGACTCCTGAGGTCTCTTCCAGCCCTAGGATTCTGTGAAAGTGCATAGAAAATAAGACAGCTTTGTTCATTCTACTCACCCCAAAAGCTTACCTACAAGCAAAGTCAAATGCAAAAACAGAATAAAGAACATACGGGTTTAAAATGGAAAGGTTGCAACAACCAGTGAATTGCAAGTGAAGATAATTTAACGAAGTGGCAATTTATCCCCACTGTAGTTAGCATTTTGGTAAATCTGGTAAACCTGTGTTGCGGTTACATTGTTGTGCATTTGTTCAGATGTTGCTACTGATGCAGTCTTTGGTAGACCTATTCATAGGAAGATTTATGCTTTTGGTAAGACCTGGGCAATTGCAGTGAGGGGCACCGTATAGAAAGACTGCTTTCTAACTGTCGGTCTCTGTCTCCTGCCTGGGGCACGGCAGCAGTGTGCTAACCCCCACATCTACCTTGCAGAAATGGCAGTGCATAGAAGATGCCAGTGGGAAGCTCAAGCTGCACAAGTGCAAAGGGATGGCTCACCTGGCAGCCGCTAGCAGCAGCAAGGGCCTCTCCAATCTCATGTCCAAATATTACAGCAGGAAAAGCGACGACTGCAACTGCGAGGAAAACGAATACAAGCTGAGCTCTGTGGGACAGAGAAAGAAACTCTTTTCCAAGAAACGTAAGTGACTGTGCTGCCTCCATGTCATAGAGAAAAAGTTTCCTCTTGGCTCATGGTAGTGGTTTCAAGCGTGGGGGCCTAATGTTAGAGAGCCTGGGTCTACATGGAGGTCTCCGAAGAAGTGGTTTGATTTTCAGGGGTGCTGAGTGCCGACAGCTGCTACTGAGACTGATTCAGGTGTGCAAGTGCAGATTTAGCTGTTTCACATTAGACTTCCAAAGTTGAACCTGTCCTCTGTCTGAAGAACCCAAGGATTCCTTGGGAGTAAAATGCTTTGTCACAAGGGTTCTTTGGGAATAAAATAGTTTGAAGTTTTGCTATCCAAAGCAGGGCCCTATAATGGCTTCTGTGGGACCAGGAATTGCCTCTCAGCATTAGTCTGTGAATTTGTTTGATCATCCCATCCGGGTGGAGTATGTATTTTGTCTACATCCAGAAGCTTCTCTTAGGGATGTGGTTATGGCTGTCAGCTTCTGGGATGCAACTTGTAGCATGAGAAAAGCCTAAAGCATCTGATTTCCCACTGTCTTCATCTCGTTTAGTCACATGCACCCATACAAATGGAATTTAAAACAGCCACTTGGATTCAGCAGGGTTTGTAGCTTATTAGCTCAGGTGCAAAGCCTATATGAGATTAATCAGTAGCTATCCAGGCCCATTGCCTCTAGCTGCTCAAGGAACATTTACACTTCCAAAAAAACCCCCTACAACAGCAAGTTTAAGGACCTGGGTCAACTGCTCACAGGGCATGCACGGCGGGACTACAATCAGCAGTATAGACTTCCCTGCTGAGGTTGGAGCCTGAGTGAGGAAACCCGGTGAGAAGGGTGATTCCAGATCCTCGGTTAGTTGAATAGCCGAGTAGCCTCATGAATTCTTATCGGTTACTCGACCATTCTACAGTCCCTGGGGGCGAGGCCGGCAGCCAGTGCACTCCTGGCCCCACTCCTGGGGAGTCTCCTGCCAACCTGCAGCTCCTGTTTGTCAGAGGCTGGAGAAGGATGGCAGGAGACAAATCACTTGATCATTGTCTTTGGTCCACCCCTATGGGGCACCTGGTGCTGGCCACTATCGGCAGACAGGCTGCTGGGCTAGATGGACCTTTGGTCTGCCCCAGGATGGCCATTGTAAGCTCAGGGCTCAGGGTCGGGGGTCTCAGTGGACCCCCTTGATTCTCTTGCACACCTGCTCCTGGGTGGCCAGGCAGGCCG